GATGTTGACTCCTTTGCCTGGTATGCAGGAGGATGTGGGTTCGATGCCGGACCCTGACGTTGCCTGCTGCTGTATATTTTGAGTATGCATGTCTCTCTCTCAATCATCACAGTGTAGTGTGTAGTGTATAGTGCAGTGTGTAGTGTAGTTTGTAGTGTAGTGTATAGTGCATTGTATAGTGTAGTATATAGTGTAGTGTGGTGTATAGTGTAGTGTATAGTGTAGTGCATTGTGTAGTGTATAGTGTAGTGTATAGTGTAGTGTAGTGCATAGTGTAGTATAGTAGTGTAGTGTATAGTGTCGTGTATAGTATAGTGTAGTGTATAGTGCTAATTACATCAACCAACATCATCTGGCGATTTTCCAGAATTGTAAACCTCCTTGAGTGGATGTGATATTACACTTCACATTAACCTTTTAAGCCATATGAAGAAGATAATAATATGATAATCATCGTCATCAACATAAGCCCATCATGACAGGTCTATATGATGTGATGTATCATTCTCAAGCATATATATGTAACAATGCTCTATAATAATGTATCTTTCTCTCTTATATAGAAAAGAGTCATGGTAGAAGTCAGAACATGTCTTTGAAAATGGAAGAAGAGCATTTGAATGTAAGTCATTCCACCTCACCAAGTCTGTGACCTGACCACAAATCACTCCTGTTTTTGGTGTCACTGCTGATTGAGAACCTCAGCAGACCGCGTGAGTCACGAGGGTTATTTGCCTGTCCTGTATCGCGTTGGTCAGTGTAAGTAAGTGAAGCATTAGGCGTGGCAGCACAGGTCATTATAATCTGCAGCAACCGGTCCGTGTTGACTCTCCAACGAGGTCCCTCATATCTTCGGATTGCTGTCTTTCTCAGGATTCCGTGGTCAAGGCTCTGATTCTGGGGTGATCAGGCCTAGTGCGTGAGTGAGTGGGTGAGTGAGTGGCTGAGTGAGTAAATCAGCATTTACCCACCTAGTTCTGGTGATTTACCCTGCATGTTCTCTATATTTCCTGTTTTCCATACACGGTGGTGCATTGGCATCAGGTTCCTGTTACATATGACGTCACGGACGAAGGGAGAGAGAGGGCGGGGCGTGAGAGAGAGGGAACGCCTACGAGGGGAATGGTGACGTCACCGGATGAGGCGGGGCGATCGGGGGCAGCTTCCTGGCAGTGTTTGGAAGTGAGTGACCCACACGTGGTGTGAGCTCGTGCGGAAAACAAAGAGGAGCTGTGTCGTCTCAACCTTCGCCTGGTGGACTCATTACAACTGGAATGTTTTATCATTGCCTACTTTTAAAAGGCAATTGGCCTTCGTTGTTCATACCCTGAATATCCTTTTTAAAAAAGGTTGAGCCAAAACGTACGGTTGAATTTTCGTCTATGATCAAAGCACTCGGAATATCTTCACGCGAGCATCTTTCCCGTCACGGTATGTTCAGTGATGATGGAGCTATGTCACAATTTCCAACGCAAGATGCACAATTGGCAGCTGATCGCTGATTCTTGAAACTGGTAATAAAAAAGCTGCTTGCCGTGCGGTAGCTACTAAACACAGCAGCCATGTAAGATCAACGTTTACCAAAAACGTTTGAAATTAAAAAAAACGAATCCTTCTAAGAAATGTACATACGTCATGCGCAATGACCGATAATAGTGGAGGGGTGGGGGGGGGACAAGGCAGGCGAGCGAGGAGGCCAAGGAGGGTTACAAGGCTCGAGAATGGAGGAGGAGGACAGCGAGAGAGAGAGGTGAAAATATCATTCGCTACGTTGTTGATGAAAGTTGATGTGTTGATACGGGCGGCCAGGGCAGCCATTGAGTATTTGAACAGTGAGAAGTCGGGCGACTGGCTGTGATTGGAATAAATGTTCACGTGATATGCCAACGAGCAAGACGGGGTTACTGCTACATGTAGAATGTATGTTCATTATGAAGTGCCTTGATTGATAAACAAAAGTTCATATTTTTTGTTTGTTATCATGTACTTCCCCCCCTCTTTATATGCTTGCAGCTGTTGAGAACAAATCAGCAGGTCCATGTTGACTCTACAACGAGGTCCTTCAGATCTTCAAATCGTCTTCTTTCTCAGGACTCCGAGGTGCAGGCTCTGATCCTGGGGTGATCGAGCCTAGTGAGTGGGTGGATGGGTGCGTGGGTATGGTTGAGTGAGTGGATGTGTGGTTGAGTGAGTGAGTGGGTCAGCGAGTGAGTGGGTGAGTGAGTGGCTGATTGAGTAAATTAACATTTACCCACCTAGTTCTGGCAATCTACCCTGCACGTTCTGTATGTTTCCTGTCTTCCATACACGCGATCCTGGGGTCGAAACACCCACGGGATCCCAGGTTACTGTTAAAGATGACGTCACGGACAAAGGGAAAGAGAGGGCGGGGCGTGAGAGAGAGGGAACGCCCACGAGGGGAGTGGTGACGTCACCGGATGAGGTGCGGCGATGGAGGGCTTCTTTCAGGCAGAGTTGGGAGGTGAGTAGTTCGCAATCAGCGTGAGATCATGCAGAAAACAAAGAGGAGCTGTGTCGTCTCAACCTTCGTCTCGTGGACTCATTACACGTGGAATGTTTTATCATTGCCTTCATTTAAGGCAATTAGCCTTCGTTGTTCCTACCGTGATTGTCCTTTAAAAAAATGTTGATCCAAATTGTACGGTTGTATTTTCGTCTACAATCAAAGCACTCGGCATATCTTCACGCGAGCATCTTTCGCGTCACGGTGTGTTCAGTGATGATGGAGCAATGCCACGATTTACAACGCAAGATGTACAATTGGCAGCTGATCGCTTTGTGTGTTTAACCGGTGGTTCTCGACACTGGTAAAAAAAAAAACAGCCTGCCGTGTGGTAGCTACAACGCACAGCAGCAATGTAAGATCAACGTTTACCAAAACGTTTGGAACAAAAAACGAAGCCTTAAAAAAATGTACATTTGATCTTTATGGCGGGACCCCGCGGTCCAATAAGCCTCCGGCTCTCACATAAACTGCATTGCGATGTCATTTTATGTCTGTTGAAGGAGAAAGTTACGGCAATCTATTCCTCTCGACGAGCTCTACACGATGCACTAATCAAAGTTTCAAAGTTTTGTTTATGACTACGGCAATTTTGGCAACGATGGGCGCTTGGTGAAGAATGAGAGGATTGATTTCTGGTTGGTCGCGGCGTTTGTGTGCGCGGTGGAATGGAGTCTCCAAAAATAAATAAATTAATTACGATTTTGACTTCTGTATATTCGGGACTGCCATTAGGTTCATATGTTATGCACAATGACCGAGAATGGTGGAGAGCATGGGGGGGAAAGAGATGAGGCAGGGTCGCTATGGAGACAGTTCCTGTAGGGGGGTGGACATGGACGAGAGAGGCGAGCGAGGAGGCCAAGGAGGGTTACAAGGCTCGAGAATGGAGGAGGAGGACAGCGAGAGAGAGACGTGGCTGTTTCTTTTGCTACATTGTTGATGAAAGTTGATGTAAATTTTGATTTAAAGCTTTCGTGACTGCAGTAATTCATATTCTTAGTTTTTTCGGTAAAGTCACGTTAAAGAGAAACAACAAAATAATAAATATATATATAAAACAATAAAAAAATTCTCACGACGTTTCGACCATAACTCAAACGGTCATCTTCAGGTGTGTTGGTTTGCATAAATTTATTTTTAAACGGCGCATTTATTTATTTATAAAAAAAACGTTAGCGTCACGCGCAGCGATTTGACAGTTTACCCAGGACTAGTCCATCTATATTTTGAAAAGAGGAGGGGGGAGACGAAATCTGGCCACATGGCCGGCCTGCTCTAGACCAATTCTTCGACCACATCAATTCCATACACCCAGCCATCAGATTTACCATGGAAGTCGAAATAGATGGCAAGATACCTTTTTTGGATGTCCTAATCAAAAAGAGACCTGATGGTTCAATGAGCCACTCTGTCTACAGGAAAGCTACCCATACGGATGCTTATCTGAAACCGGATTCCCACCACCATCCATCACAGAAGAATTCTCTCATCAAGACTCTGTATCATAGAGCCCAATGCATATCCGACCAGGAACACATAAGCAGTGAACTCAAGCACGTACACCAAGCTCTTAGGGCTAATGGTTACTCCGACTATACAATCCGCAAAGCTAACACTCAAACCATGAAGAAGAACCCTCTTGAGGAGCCTTTCAAAACCATCACTTTACCCTACATTGCTGGGATCACAAAAAAGATCTCCAAAATCTTGAATAAACACAAGATCCAGGTCCGTTTCAACACATTACATAAAATCCGTGATCTGGTTCCGTCTGTAAAAGATGTGATTCCGGACATACAATACCCTGGTGTCTACAAACTAAGTTGCCTCTGTGGTAGTAGTTACATTGGAGAAACCAAACGCCATGTCTCGGACCGCATTCGTGAACACAAAGCAGACCTTAAACACGGTAGGACCAACACCTCGGCCGTAGCAGATCATTGTTCTAATTCAGTAGGCTCACATGACATTGACTTTTCCAAGACAGAGGTTCTTTGTAAGCCATCTGGCTTCCATGAGAGATTCGTTCATGAGGCTATCCACATATACAAGCACAGAGACAATTTCAACCGAGAAGATGGATTCTATCTTAGCAATCATTGGAAAGATTTGATAAACCATTTCAGTTCTTAATTGATTGTTCACGCTTACATTGGCTTTCAGACAGCATACATTATAAAACAATTTCGTCTCCCCCCTCCTCTTTTCAAAATATAGATGGACTAGTCCTGGGTAAACTGCCAAATTGCTGCGCGTGACGCTAACGTTTTTTTATAAATAAATAAATGCGCCGTTTAAAAATAAATTTATGCAAACCAACACACCTGAAGATGACCGTTTGAGTTATGGTCGAAACGTCGTGAGAATTTTTTATTGTTTTATATATATTTTATTATTTTGTTGTTTCTCTTCAACGTGACTTTACCGAAAAAACTAAGAATATGAAAGTTGACGTGTTGATGCGGGCGGCCGGGGCAGCAATTGAGTATTTGAACAGAGTGAGAAGTCGGGCGACTGGCTGTGATTGGAATCAATGTTCACGTGATATTACCGACGAGCAAGACGGGGTTACTGCTACATGTAGAATGTATGTTCATTATGAAGCGCCTTGATTGCTAAATAAAAGTTCATATTTTTGGTTTGTTATCATGTACTTTTCCTCCCCCCCTCCTTATTTGCTTGCAGCTGTTGAGAACTAATTCGCTGCGCAGTAATACCTCCAGTCATTATGAAAATAATGTAAGTCATTCCACGTTACTAAGTCTATCCTCCTCTCTTGTTGTTGTGTTTTTTTTAATTACTGTGGTAAGCGCGCGAGCCCCGACACAATGGATCCATGGTTTTCTGGAGAAAGGTGGTGGGGGAGGGTTCAGAAAGGCGGTGGGGGAGGGGAGGAGGGGGACTTTAGGTGCTTGAAGTGTTGTCAAGGTGCTGGGATGGAATTCTCGGTGTCCACCCTTGAAGGTGCTTTCTGATGGTGGTGTAGAGTGGTAGCTTATATATATTGGGGGAGGGGGGTGTGGAGAAAGTGTCCAGCATTCTACGGGGAGATCAGTCGGGGAGATCAGTTGTGGAGACATTTTCCATACTTGGGCATTCCATCGCTGTACCAGAGGAATTCCCATCTGGTTAAGGTAAAATGGGAGGCTTATCGATGCTCAGGTGTGGTCGAGGGATGGCTCCCTATTGGTCAGCCGTGTTGTGCGTGATAATGATGATCTGGTCATTGCTGATAATTCACTTGCCGTGCCTTTACTCTAGCAAAGCGCAGAGGATTTCATCAGTAAAATGATCTCGCAAGGAAATAAAGGCAACTGGAAGGACGTCGAGATGGAGTTGCCAGAGTTGCGAGAGCGGATCGCCAAAACTCCCTCCCTTTTCCTGCACGAGCTGAAGAGGAGGAATGTGGTTACAGAAGAGGAGTACTGGAGGGCATTTACAATTCCCGACGCCGCCAAGCGCGTGGACTCAATCCTGTTGCCCGTCATGAGACGAGGTGGCGGCAAACACCGAAAGCTGCTGGAGGCACTCGAACAACAGCGGAGCAGGGAACGGCATTTCCTGGACATGCTGAGGACGAGCCGTGCGTACACTTTACACACTCGTCAGCATTGCAATCCATTAAACGTAGACTTTTTTCACTTTTTTCATGTCGGAGCACTTTATATTAATAATTGTATTTAATACAGCGATATTCATGCTAATTATATCCCACAGCACTGTACAAATCCTATTATATGTAGCAATTACCGAGCATATGAACATACACAGAAAGTTAAATAATAATAAAATACATAAATGTCACCAAAACTAAAGAGACACCAACAATCCCAGCGTCTCACTCAAGCAGGAAAACCGACTAATTTAGGCAAATCTCCTTGGACCCTGGATAGATATCATACTTATCCCCTTTACATCATCATCAGCCAAGGTCAATCCACTGCTGGATGAAGGTCTCCCCAAGCCTCTCTATGCCTCCAATACCTCCCACGACCATTCTATGCAACGATCCACTTAGCACTCGCACGTGAGCTGATATAATCACCAGCAGTAGCTCCATGCCTACATTAACATACATCCGTAGTTCGATGTAGCTTTGGGCAATGCAATAGTTTGAATACATTTCGTAAAACGTAAGCTTAGTATTTCTCAATTGTCCGCTTGCATTCCTGGGAGCCTCGAAAATCAATGTTCGAGCAACACGGCATGGCACCACGTGCTCCGATGCTGCCACGGTGAAATGATTTGGTACACGATGAGGCAATACCCCTGGCTAGAGCACAATGAGTGGTCACCGGTAGTTGAGTAAACTAAACAATAACTATTTTTTTAAACTAAACGATTTAATTTTACCGAGTGAAGCCCTACTGAGCTGCTATGGAGTAGCTCTTTTTCAGAAGCAACCTGGCCATCATAAATGATAGATCAACCAACTATCTAATATCATCATGTGGATATTTATAGCAGCCTAATGCTCTTAACGTGTAATATTGATTCTGAATGTGGAGAAAAATCCACGGGGAGAGAGAGAGACACACACACAGACTCCACATATAAAATAGGAGTCAGGGTCGGGATTGAACATGCTATCTCATGCATACCAGGCGAGGTAGTTAATATCTCCTAGCCACTGTGGCAAATGTAATCAGCTTGGAAGGGAGAGCCAATTATCCTCAAGAGGGGGCTCTGAAGCTGCTTCTAGTCGAGATCCTTCCACCAGCAGTGCCATGGGCACAAAATATCCAGGTGCAGCTTTGCCTCTCATGGCGACCACTTAATCATGGCTGATGATGAAAAATGAAAAACTGAGTCGTGATTGTAAAGATTTACACGATGATTTGCTTATCTTGTAGATTTGTGCTCGCCCACTCTGAACCCCAACTCGGCACATCGACATCTTCAAATTTCTGCCGATCTCAGCACAGTGACGTGGAAAAAGGAAGAGCAGCCTTACTCTGATCATGCAGAGAGGTGTGAGAGGTGGCCAATAGTCCTCTGCTTTGATAACTTCTCGTCGGGTGACCACTACTGGGAAGTGGACGTGAGAGCCTCTAAAAATTGTTCTATAGGCGTCGCACGTGAGTCGATTCCGAGGAATTGTCACGAAAAGTCTGGCAGGCTGGGCTGGAACGAGTCCTCTTGGGCGTTCGTTCAATGGGATTTTAATTTCAAAGCAGCACATGACAAACAACGCAAAACCATTACAGATGTTCAGCTTTTGCAGAGAGTCGGCGTTCGCTTGGACTTTAACGCAGGAAAACTTTCGTTTTACAACGCCATCACCATGGAGCTGTTGCACTCATTTGATGACATTCCAAGTGAGCCGCTCTGTCCGGCTATGCAGGTGAAGTCGGGCTCAGTCTCGATTTACGAAGGTGAGTACAAGGGCGTGTCACGCATAGGGAATCCTTGACACTGACTTGGAGTGTTTTCATACGCAGAAGGAAAAAAATATTGTGCATGCAGGCGATGGAGCCACAGCAGTAGAGCACGTGAACATCCCCTTTGTTAATCCACTGCTGGATGAGTGACCACCCACTTCCTATGGGTCGGTCGTGGAGGTGATTTGGCCCTGATTCACCCTGCTTTGTCTGTGTGTGGCGGGAGTAGTGAAGGCGAGGGAGTCTAGACGCGAGGTTATAGCAGTAGAGCGTGGAGCTGGGAGCGAGGGTATATCGGAGCTCTGTATTTCTGTAGAACAAACAGTGGTGGTTCCTGAAAATTGCGGCAATGTTTGTGTCACCACTTGGGAAGCGAACACGGCAGATTGTCTCAATATCAAACAAATAAGACATCAACAACATCCAATTCTCTGAAATTTTGTATCGAGTCTTGATTTCGAATTTTTTCTTTTTCAATTTAATTCTAAAATCGGGAGCAAAGATGCCAAAAGATGAAAGTGGAAATGAAGCAAAAAAGCCTAAGATTTACAAAAAGTGATGGAGGAGGTGGCTGTTCTAAATAATACTGGGAGATATAAATAGAATGTATAAAGCAAAGAGTGGCTGTGGGCACATTGAGGGCTGTTGGTGACAGAGACGGAGAAGGAGTGATATCAGCTTACATGTTAAACTATATTGTGACAGTGAAATTTATTTCAGCGCAGGACCATAATAAATGGTCGTGGCTTGGGGAGACCTCCCAGCAATGACTTAAAATTTACGTATGATGATGATAATCGTGACGAAGGCATTAAACAATCGCAATATTAGAACTCAAATTTGGTTTTGTTTATTCCTCCAAATATGTTTAACAGCTCAATCATTGAAGAACCTGACTGTGGATGAGAGCAGAGAAGACATTCAGATTTGTGATCACTTTTCAAACAGCGGAGACCATCGCACAAACAACACCGATGAAGAGAAGGGTGAGAGGAAAGATGCATTGCTCAGAACGAGGAGGGAGGAACCTCCGGTGACACGAGAGTTGATGGGTACGATCCCTGCAATGCTACACCACGAGTTGCTCGTCCAGGGTCTCATCACACAATCCGAGCTCTCAGAAGTATATTCGATACCCCGCGCGTCAGCACGAGCTGACTTCATCATAAGCCGTCTCAATCGCAAGCAGAAAGAGAGCCCGCAACTCAAAGGGATTCTGTGTGAACATTGTGAAAAGCAAGAGGCATTCCTGAAAATGAGGAGCGAATCGTGTACGTGATATGCTGTACACGCCACACAACGTTCATTGCTGAGTGTATTAATGCATCATCTTTGTCACTCATCTCTAGTGTTGATGTACGATAAAGAAAGATATCCGTATGAGATGTGAACCCATAATGCAGTGCAATAAGCCATCGTTTAGCATGCTAGATGCGTTGCTGAAAAGCGCCGTGTTAAGCAAAAAGGTGTTCATGCTTTGTGGCAGTAAACTGGAGTACGTGGAGAAAACCTACGAGTATCAGAATCTTTATCCTGGATGAGGACTCCGATGAGCTATGAAGCACTTGTCACAGATGTCCACTAGGGACACGGGGTCAGCGAGATACATTAACACCAAACAATAAGTATGAAGCAGGTAACACGTAATCCCCATATAGATGGATTCCAGATGAAGATGAATCCACTTATACTTCTTACTGATATATTGCCAATTGCAAAGTTTATTTCTCAAAAGTAAACAATGTTCGCTTAACACAATATTTGCATTATTATCATTTACAGGTACTTGCTCGCCGACTCTGAACCCAAACACGGCACATCGGAACCTCCAGATTTCTGCCGACTTTAAAACCGTCAGGACCTCCACACGCGCCCAACATTACCCTGACAACTCAGACCGGTTCGACCACTACCGAGTGGTCATTTGCTCTGACAAATTCTCATCGGGTCGCCACTACTGGGAGGTGGACGTGAGAAGTTCTGAGAAATTCGTCATCGGTGTCACGTATGACGCGATACCACGGAAAGGTGATGACAAAGCCTGTAAAATTGGGTGCAATGAAGTTTCGTGGAGCCTGAGGAAATTGGACGACTACACGGCGGTACATAACAAGACGGAAACAAAACTGTCGGTGCGAGATGCTCCCAAAAGAGTCGGGGTTCACCTGGACTGGGAGGCGGGCGTCTTGTCATTCTACAGCGCCGACTCCATGTCGCTGCTGCATCGATTTCACGGACAATTTGATCGAGAGCTGTACCCTGCAATGGCCGTGCTGTGCGAAAGTCTCGCAATATGCCCGTTGCCGTACTCAGACTCTCGTCGTTAGAGATGAGAGGCTCCTATTAGAGCGGTCTCCCATGCGACCCCTGTATGTATGTATGTAGAGTAACTCCCTGGCCAACCGCGTGGGTTCAGGTTCCTGAAAACCCTCGGGGTTGGTAAAGTTACAGGGGGCCTATGGGTTGTAGGGGGTTAAGGGAAACACGGGTGTGGTCAGACTCGCCACAGCTTAACTAAGTTGTCTGTTTATTCACTAAACTATGTTTCTGTGTATGGTACATTACACAGTAACATGATAAAACGTAATTGAACGTAACATTAACTTTACATACCTTTAATATTAACGATGATTAGAGTTAAAAGTATTAACGACGATGTCAATAAGATGATGGGGGGAGGGCTGGTTAGAAGGAGGAGGGGCTCAGCCCAGCCACGCCCCCTTCCTCCAGACCACAGACACAACTCACTCTCACCACTCGATGCACGCTTGGTCCATGACTAACGGCAACATTAATGTGCACCATGGAGTACTGTACAACAAAACAGGCGGCCAGCTGATCACTTGAGCATCGCAACGGCACCACGGCATTTGTATTAAATTCCGTTGTTCACAGAGCCAAGGCCATAGTCATGTAGTGAACATTGGGGGGGGGGGGCCGAAGCTTCCAGGGGGTCTGGGTTCCCAACCCAGAAAAAAAATCTAATTTTGAAAACTAATTTTCTGCCTAAAATATTTAAAAAAATCACAATAATGTCTAATAGTGTATTGTATTACATTGCTCTGTTTTTTTCTTTTTTACCTTTTCTTGTTTCATTGTATGTATTGGCCGAGATTATGAATTCATCACGTACAACCATAACCACAATCATATGAACAAGGTTTAGCAAATTGTTATTTATATTTACATATTTATATGTAAACTTGGGTGAGCAGCAGGAGCGTTTGCTTTGCTCTGCTTGCTCTGCTCTCCTCTCCTCTCTTCTCCTCTCCTCTCTTCTCCTCTCCAGCGCTCTCTCCTCCTCTCCTCTGGTCCTATATTCTCATCTCTTCTCCAGTCATCTCTTTTCCTTTCCCCTGCCCTGCAGTCATTTCTGCTCCTTTCCTCTGATTTCCTCTCCTCTCGTCTCCTTTCCAGGCAATGACAAGTGTTTTGACTTGACATTCTTCAAGCAAAGGATCCAAAGGCCTTTTTGCGCTTGTCGTTGACACCGATAAAAGACTGGCATATTCGTTCAAGGTCCAGTCTGTCCAGTGTCAACAGGTGCACGTGACACATGGCCACATTATTCATCCTTGTTTGCCTCATCGAAGATCTAAGCCATGTATTCAGCCTCCTCAGGGCACGAAAACACCTCTCAGCCTCTACAGAGGAGGCAGGGGCGACCAGCAGAAGCCTTACTAAAGCTTCCACCTGACTGAAGAGACCTCTCACCTCTGGCACCATTTCCCTAATAATTCTGGCAACATCTGAGCTCGTTTGATATTTGTAATTAGCCCCAAACATGGCCAGCTGCACCTGCAGTGGTCTTGAATTCAATTCAGGAGACTCGTATACCACCTTGTCCATGTCTCCGTGTAGCAGCACATTTTCAAGCTGCTGCAGGTTGTGGAATCCAGCTTAATCAACCCTCTCTATGAATTGAGTATTCACTGTGTCCAAGGCGTTGTAGAATTGGGCTCTGTACAAAGACTGGGCATCCGGATGGATATGGGCTGCAGCCTGACTGGTATAACGCTTTGTAGGTTTGCGGATATGAGGCATCTGAATAGGTTGTAGGTCCAACTTTGTTGCCATAGCAGTTGCTTTTGCGAACAAGACATCAAAGTGCTTCTCCGTTCGCTTGTCCTGTATGCTTGTTTTGACATGGTCCACAGCCTCCAACATGCCTGAAACAGTCTGCTTCTTAGGCTGCAGGGAGGTGTTCAGGCACTCTAACTCCCCCTTCAGGTTTTCAGCCATCACAAGGCCGAGCACAGTGTTCCCTTTTAGAAATGTTCCATGAAGACCATTGGCCTTAGTTGAAGTGTCAGATGAGCTGCATGATACCATATCTTCAAGGGCTGTCAGCACTGACTCATACTGGCTGAGAACTGAGCGGATGGCAGGAGTGCGAACAGTCCACCTGGTGGGACAGAGAGGGTTCAATGAGGTGCAACCATTGAACCAACCATGCTCTGATTTTGCGATTTCTTGGAAAATCACCTTGAACTTGCCAGATTGATTAAAGAAGCCCCCCAATTAATGCACCAGACACATTATCTTACTAGTGGAGAGGCTACACAGGCAGCCTGCGTAACTAAGTTCAGGCAGTGTGGACCATAGTGACAATACATAGCCAGCGGTTCTTTCCTTAAAATGGCTTGCACCCCCTGCAATCGTCCAGCCATATTTGCCCGCACTGTCATAGATTTGTACTCCAATTGGGACAAAGGAAGGGCTAGACGCATCATCACATCACATGCCATCTTGGCTATATTTTTCCCTGTCGTTGATGACACTTCGTAGAGTCTCAGGAATTATTCCTTTGGTTGTATATCTGCATCTACAAAGCGCAAACATATTGACTCCTGCTCAACTTCTAATATATTCTGGGTGCAATCAATTATAAGTGTGAACTGGACCACTGGCACTGATGTTATTTCCAACACAATTTATTTGACGATTGTATTGCCCACCAGCTTCAAATTTCGTTTTGCATTTGGGGACTGGTGAAATAAAAGTGACCTTTCAGCCAGGTGGTCAGCTCTGCATCGCCCTCTGCCTTGTACTTTAGAAGCTGGCTGAAATTCCCACTCTACTTATCAATGCCTCGAAAAGTCAGACCTTACCGTGCCAAGTACTTCACACCCCAACAATCCTCATAATATTTCTCCTTGCTTGTTGCTGCTGTCTCTCAAGCTCACGTGAAAGTTGCACATCAACAGGTTTTGGTTCCTGAATCCGAGTCATCACAGCTAATTTGCGACACTGCCTTCCATATTTGAAAGCCAGTCTTGACAAAAGCTGAATCTGCTTTTGACGCAAGCTTAGACATTCGTGTTGCAAAGTATTTAGCACAATAGAAACAGAGGACCCCCCTTTAAGGAGGGGCTGTAATGGAGCCAAGTATAATCTTTAAACCATTTCTACTGAAAGTAGAGTCCTATTTGATAGGGTTTGGCTAGGTATGACATTCACATTTGGCTGATTTGGGCGAGGTTCAAGCTCCTCCCCTCCCACTCTCCCTGCTTGATTGTATTATCTGAAATACACACGAGAAGCCATACTTAGAGGAATATCTCAGCTTAAATTAACATTAGCATTATACTGTTGTGATGTAATTCGGTCTTAACCATCATTATTTGCTGCTTTTTTCACTCACCTCCATGTCACCTGCTCTCCCTGCCCTGTCGGCATCCTCATGCTCTGTCTCCCTCTCTCTCTTTACTCTGAATGCACCAGAGTGAACATGAAATAAATATTATCAGTAAACAAGTGGTGTTTCTTGCCATGATGTTCAGGAATGGATTAATAACCATTTGTGATCTGAATGGCAATAATTTTATCGAGAAATATTGACTCATCTCTTGTACTGCTGTATTCTTCTATCATCTGACTGGTACTCATTTTCTCACTGCTGCCAACTTTTATTATTTTCTGAGGCTGCCCAAAAAACTGACGAATGTCACTGCACTCTTGCTCCTGATGACACTCACTGTGAATGAAAGCTGACTCTAATAAAACTGCTTGCACTTTAATCAAAGAAACACTAATAATTGTACTTATCATAAGTACAGCTATAAACTATACTATACGATGATGCAATAAATGAAATCTGTCTACAAATATTACACATGCAGCGCAACATAAATGATTGACACTTTACTCAGACTTCACGTGGGCTTTCTGACAAATATAACGTAATAAAGACATTAACGTTAGTTCAATACACGTGTGAGCGCAATTGTTGGTCGCTGGGTGAATGTGTGGCTAATTAGCTATGATAGCTAACGTTAGTGAAGGTTGATTTATTAGCAATCGCAAATCACCAAAAAGTTTGTTTTCACTGGACAGTGATCTAGCCATACTTAATACATTACATTCTGGTTTTCCACGTTTTAATACATTTGAAAGCAATTCAATGGAGAGACAGGACAGTCTTTGACGTTGATTGTACCTACTCACAGCAATCGAGCAACGGCTTCTGCTGGGGTACGGCAACGCAACTTGGACAAACCATAGACAGAACTGCAGTACACCATAATACTAGAACCAGTGGTAATAGTGGCAATTTGTTAAGTTTAGTTATGATTATTTTTACATTTGATAATTAATTTTTCAGACGGCGTTGCGTGGTTGCCCGTCGAAGAATAGCAATTATTATTGTTAAATATTTTTATATCAATATATTGGGGGGGGGGAGATTTTGAGCATATTTGAATATTGGGGGGGATGTGTCCCCCCCAATATATTATAATTACGGCCTTGCACAGAGCATACAAAACAACAGTATTGCCAAATGTTTACGTATTTTGTTATATTAATCTGTTAACATAGCCTATCATCCTGCTATGTTAAGCCACTGTGTAAATTGTTTTTTTTATGCGTTTGTGACCCGTGCCCACTGTGCCTCGGTTCTTCCTGGCCGTGATCGTCCTCTTGGTCACAGTGGGGGTGGCCAACAATAATTGACAAAGTAACAACCGATAGTTCTCCGGGGTGATCTTCTTGCACTCCACGCTTGTAGACAAGGAATCCAGGAGGAGACTCCATTCACACGCGGCGGGTTTATTGAACCGGCCTCTCCAGCACACGGCTGTGTTGGAGTATCTGAAACGACCAAATCTGCTGTCAACTTCACGCCCCCACGCCTCACTGATTAAATCCCTGCGCCACGCCGAGCCGATTCTAGAATCGGTGACTTAACATGCACACAGAATCGCTCACACCGAACTGAATCGATCAGTGATCGTGTTCACGTCTCTCCATCGTACTGGTCATCACCTAAGCACTTTGTCAAAAATATGTTCGAAAGGAAATAAAGAGGATCTCCTTATAATACTGAAGCACGGACATATGCACCATTTAATAAGTACATAACCACACAGGTTACACGTATATATCAACGTTATGCTAATGTACGATTTTATCATATCTGCGATTCAGTGTACATACGGTATTCCGATGTCCTACTTCGTTTTTAACTTGAGTCTGTGTGAGATGTATTAAACGCCATACAGTGATTGCATACAAAACCATTGCATTCCGACGGCGGACATCATCTTAAACTTGACTGGGGTGAGCAGCTACAACATGGGACCTTTTTTTTGCCAGTATTGAAATATGAAAAATAACAAGAGGTTTTAACTCTTTCTGGCAATAAAACAGTCTCCAGGATAATACCATTTATTATCAGAGCATGATTTGTTTGCAGGTCAATGCAGACACGATTCCTTGCATGAGATTTTTATTTGGTGTTTGAACATCTTAACACGACTGTTTTATGCCAGAAAGGGACAATACAAGCTGCTCTTATTTTTTTCATGCTTTGACTGTGAGGGTCCGATCTGATATTGAACTTCATTTAGTGATTCCCCACCCCACATTTTGGTTGGCTGGAAACACCCAGGGACATCTGCAGACTGTCAGAAGCCTCTCAGCTCCAGGGAGAAGGGGTGGGAGTGGTACCAGACCGGTAACCAGGAAACTCTGGAATGGGTTTCGTGCGGCACCACATCGCTCGGCAGAGCTGGGCACGAATCTGGTGAGCCACAAAATACGGTCCAGGACCTCCCTCACTTAAAATCATCCAGTTGCAAACGACCAAAATAGAGAGGCATTCACCCCAGGCCAATGTGCATTCGAGTTGACTTTCAAAAATTAGGCACTATTACGCTACGTATGTACGTTTAACTAATTTTGGCACCATACGTAGCCAAGCGTGGCTATTCGCGAGGTGCGAGCGGATGGACAACAACACTGAACACAACATCGCTAAATAGGTTTATTATTCATCTTCTTTAAATAATTACAAAAACAATACAATAGCCTTTTCTGAAATATTTTTGAAAGAGAATGGAGAAAACCCCAACTGGAGTTGCCCAAATCCCTGACCGGTGTCGCTGTTGTGGTAGAGTTTTACAACAACAAACACAACTCTACAAAGTACGAGTTGAGATTTCAGAATGTTTATCACGGACAGACAAACAGGCAGACGGACAAATACGTAGGCGTGGAGTGGATTCACAACAACAACAACAAAAAGCAGACGAGATGGGTAACGTCACTTCACATGTTATGGCTGCGACAAAGATCCCACGTGTCGTCTTATACAGAGACTGGTAGGGTGCTGTTAGCGAGGAGACACACATACACAACGATAGATACATACACAGAGACACAAAGACACATACACAGAGACAAATACACACAAAGTTACACACAGAGACAAAGACACATACAGACATAAAGACATGTAAAGTTATACACAAACACAAAGACAAATATGCCCCGTGTGGCCTTTAACAGACTTGTAGGGGGCAAGTGCTGTTAATAGCAAGCCGCAGCACCTATGAAGGCTACCGCCACTGTGGGACACACGAGGGGTTGGGTGACCACTAGGGCTGAACAATTTTGGGAAAATATCAAACTGAGATTTTTCTGACATGTTGCGGTTGCGATTTGATTTGCGATTAAACATTTTATAAGTCAAGCTTCAGTTAAATTTTGACTGTGTAATAGTTTTAAAACGTGTGATGGAGCATTACAACACGATACCATCAACATATGAACTGCTCTATATATTTTAATGCAAGGATGAGAACTTAAAAGATATGAATTGCTTCCAACGTGTATTTATTAAAATGTTTTAATTGAATTAGAACGAATATATAAATAGAACATAGAACAATCAAACATATAATTGTTAAGTTAAATACATACAATTATAATAAAAAAAATATATTATAATTCGAATAAGAAAGTCATAGGACTTTCAAATCGCAAAAAAATCGCAGCCTTTGCAATATGCTAATCGCATTGTTTCAAACGGCAATTTCGATTTGAAATTGATTCATCGTTGAGCCCTAGGGACCACAGCCACCACGCCCGGCCACAATTGCCTCCCCAGTGGCGATGTTTACCACACACCACCGTACCAGATACTCAGTTTGAGGCTGGGTCGACCTATGGGGGGAGGAGGCTCACTTGGACCGGGTCAGATAATCGCTGTCACTGGTCGTGGTGGCCGTGAACGGCAATCGAACTCGGGTTTCCGGGTTCGTATCACAGGGCGTTAACTGCTACTCCACCGCTCCCTCAATTCCACACACATACAGGTACACACAGAGACACAGAGACACACAGACACACAGCCACAGACAACAACAACCGCCATTCGCCACTAAGTGGCAGTGACGTCACCACGGTGCTTGTGCCAGGCTAGGTGCACGCCAAGACCACGTGAAGTGTCAAACGCCCGCTGGCAGGAGGTCACGGGGCAGACCCAGCAGGCGCCATGGATCGACTGACTGAGATGACTGACCGATGCACCACCTGTGCCACCTACTGTGCCAACTTGCTGCGTTTTATCCACCAGGCGCTCCGCTCATTGTTGTGAGCGTTGCTCCTCTTCCCTCTGCTGGAGTTGCTGGAGGGCGACTGCCTCCAACTTCCCAGTAGCTTCCTCAACATTCACCTAGCCTGGCACTGCCGATTGGCGTTCTTCACGAGCCTCCTCCACAGAGAACGCTCTTGACACCGCTGGTAACCGGTAACCCGGGACGGGTGACAGTACACAATCTATAAACAATTTGGTTTTAATAGTAGGGTTTTCCCCTTTTTTCTGGCAAAAAACTGAAACCTTTTTAGAAGGATTCATGTCTGCATTAACCACAATACCTGCAGTCAAAATGCAAACAAAAAACATACTATGATAATATATGCATTGTCCTTGAAACTGATTGGTTGATAATTGTTTTCTTACCCTTTTATCTGGCAACAAAACTGACACCTTTTTGACAAGGAGTCATGTTTGCATCCACTACAATACCTGCGGTTGGAATGCAAACAAAAAACACAACTCTGATAATGTATTGGCACTGTCCGTGAAATTGATTGCTCCACACCCGAGCATAGTCTAACATGGTGTTGGACCAGATGACGCCAAAAGGCGTCAGGTGTCAGTTTTGTTCCCAGATAAAAGGGTAAAAAAACAATTATATATTTTGCTAATGGCAAAGGAGGTTTCAATGGCATTATTTGGTTCTTTCGGTAAAGTGACGTAGATAGAGAAAAAAATTAATAAAAATAAAATCAAATATAATAAATAAAAAACACAGGCTCCATTGTTTTTTTTATTATTATATTTATAAATTTTCTATCTACGTGACTTTACCGAAAGAATAAAAGAATATTAATTAATGCAGTCATTAAAGTTTGAAGTCCAAATTTAATCTATAAACTATTTACGCAGCTATTCTTATGTTTCGATTTAAAGCTTTCGTGACTGCAAGGATTCGTCTTCTTTGGTTATTTCAGTAAAGTCACGTAGAATGAGAATAAAATAATAAATTGATAAAATAACACAATAAAACTCTCACGACGTTTCGGCCACAACACAAGCGGCCTTCATCAGGTGAAGGGACGAGACTGTCTGGAGGACGAAGACTCTGGCCGCGTGGTGACGTCGATTTTAAAAGTGACGGGGAAAACCAGGACGACCCAAAATTCCACGCGGTCACGGGGAGAGAGATAAACGCAGACTCCGCATTTACAGCAGCAGGCATCGTCATGGTCGGGATGGAACCCACGACCTCCTGCGTACCAGGCGAGGTAGTCAACATCTCGGCACAACAGACCGCACGAGAGGGAGCATCACGAGAGAGGCTCTCCAGGGGGCATTTTTTGGGTCTCCTCTTCCACGCTGCGCCAACGACGTTGTAAAAGGTGGGGGGTAGCCAAAGCCTCACATCAACTTGAAGGGGCGCCTGCCTGGAATGCAACTTGACTGGTTTTATCAACACTGCTGTGAATAGCAAACACCGTGTGCTCTCTTTCTCTCTCTTGTGTGTTTGTGTGACTACGCATCGCCTCGATCGCTGCCTACTGTTGTTAAGGTCTCCGACGACGCCGATGACTTAACCACTTCAGGTCGTTCTTTCAACTCTCACTTCAGTCGGCGCCGCATAAGCGACCTCACGGGGAGTGTTCGAGAGCGGTTTGGCGCGACCGACTGCGAAAAAGCCGCAGCGCAGATGAAGGAAAATCACCGACGGCGGACGGGCGGAAGGACGGGCGTTAAAAATGAATCTTCCTTCGTATTTCATCGCCCTTCAATCGTTCGCGACGCTGGTGAGTGAACTTACGCACGGCGCCTTCGCAAACTGGAGGACTCCTGGTGAGGTCCAGGACTGTTGTTGTTGTTGTCTTGGTGTGGTCTGGGACTGTTGTTGTTGTCTTGGTGTGGTCTGGGACTGTTGTTGTTGTCTTGGTGTGGTCTGGGACTGTTGTTGTTGTTGTCTTGGTGTGCTCTGGGACTGTTGTTGTTGTTGGTGTGGTCTGGGACTGTTGTTGTTGTTGTCTTGGTGTGGTCTGGGACTGTTGTTGTTGTTGTCTTGGTGTGGTCTGGGACTGTTGTTGTTGTCTTGGTGTGGTCTGGGACTGTTGTTGTTGTTATTGTCTTGGTGTGGTCTGGGACTGTTGTTGTTGTTGTGGTCTGGGACTGTTGTTGTCTTGGTGTGGTCTCGGACTGTTGTTGTTGTCTTGGTGTTGTTTGGGACTGTTGTTGTTGTTGTGGTCTGGGACTGTTGTTGTTGTCTTGGTGTGGTCTGGGACTGTTGTTGTTGTCTTGGTGTGGTCTAGGACTGTTGTTGTTGTTGTTGTTGTTTTGGTGTGGTCTGGGATTGTTGTTGTTGTTGTCTTGGTGTGGTCTGGGATTGTTGTTGTCTTGGTGTTGTCTGGGACTGTTGTTGTCTTGGTGAGGTCTGGGACTGTTGTTGTTGTTGTCTTGGTGTGGTCTGGGACTGTTGTTGTTGTTGTCTTGGTGTGGTCTGGGATTGTTGTTGTTGTTGTTGTTGTCTTGGTGTGGTCTGGGACTGTTGTTGTTGTCTTGGTGTGGTCTGGGACTGTTGTTGTTGTTATTGTCTTGGTGTGGTCTGGGACTGTTGTTGTTGTCTTGGTGTGGTCTGGGACTGTTGTTGTTGTTGTTGTTGTTGTCTTGGTGTGGTCTGGGACTGTTGTTGTTATTGTTGTTGTCTTGGTGTGGTCTGGGACTGTTGTTGTTGTCTTGGTGTGGTCTAGGACTGTTGTTGTTGTCTTGGTGTGGTCTGGGATTGTTGTTGTCTTGGTGTGGTCTGGGATTGTTGTTGTCTTGGTGTTGTCTGGGACTGTTGTTGTTGTCTTGGTGAGGTCTGGGACTGTTGTTGTTGTCTTGGTGTGGTCTAGGACTGTTGTTGTTGTTGTTGTCTTGGTGTGGTCTTGGACTCTTGTTGTTGTTGTCTTGGTGTGGTCTGGGATTGTTGTTGTTGTTGTTGTTGTCTTGGTGTGGTCTGGGACTGTTGTTGTTGTCTTGGTGTGGTCTGGGACTGTTGTTGTTATTGTCTTGGTGTGGTCTAGGACTGTTGTTGTTGTTTTGGTGTGGTCTGGGATTGTTGTTGTCTTGGTGTGGTCTGGGATTGTTGTTGTTGTTGTCTTGGTGTGGTCTGGGATTGTTGTTGTCTTGGTGTTGTCTGGGACTGTTGTTGTCTTGGTGAGGTCTGGGACTGTTGTTGCAGTTGTCTTGGTGTGGTCTGGGACTGTTGTTGTTGTTGTTGTTGTCTTGGTGTGGTCTGGGATTGTTGTTGTTGTTGTTGTTGTTGTCTTGGTGTGGTCTGGGACTGTTGTTGTTGTCTTGGTGTGGTCTGGGACTGTTGTTGTTGTTATTGTCTTGGTGTGGTCTGGGACTGTTGTTGTTGTCTTGGTGTGGTCTGGGACTGTTGTTGTTGTTGTTGTTGTCTTGGTGTGGTCTGGGACTGTTGTTGTTATTGTTGTTGTCTTGGTGTGGTCTGGGACTGTTGTTGTTGTCTTGGTGTGGTCTAGGACTGTTGTTGTTGTCTTGGTGTGGTCTGGGATTGTTGTTGTCTTGGTGTGGTCTGGGATTGTTGTTGTCTTGGTGTTGTCTGGGACTGTTGTTGTTGTCTTGGTGAGGTCTGGGACTGTTGTTGTTGTTGTCTTGGTGTGGTCTAGGACTGTTGTTGTTGTCTTGGTGTGGTCTGGGACTGTTGTTGTTGTTGTCTTGGTGTGGTCTGGGATTGTTGTTGTTGTTGTTGTTGTCTTGGTGTGGTCTGGGACTGTTGTTGTTGTCTTGGTGTGGTCTGGGACTGTTGTTGTTATTGTCTTGGTGTGGTCTGGGACTGTTGTTGTTGTCTTGGTGTGGTCTGGGACTGTTGTTGTCTTGGTGTGGTCTGGGACTGTTGTTGTTGTTGTCTTGGTGTGGTCTGGGACTGTTGTTGTTGTTGTGGTCTGGGACTGTTGTTGTTGTCTTGGTGTGGTCTCGGACTGTTGTTGTTGTCTTGGTGTTGTTTGGGACTGTTGATGTCTTGGTGTGGTCTGACACTGTTGTTGTTGTTGTCTTGGTGTTGTCTTGGACTGTTGTTGTCTTAGTGTGGTCTAGGACTGTTGTTGTTGTTGTTGTCTTGGTGTGGTCTGGGATTGTTGTTGTTGTTGTTGTTGTTGTTGTCTTGGTGTGGTCTGGGATTGTTGTTGTCTTGGTGTTGTCTGAGACTGTTGTTGTTGTCTTGGTGAGGTCTGGGACTGTTGTTGTTGTTGTCTTGGTGTGGTCTAGGACTGTTGTTGTTGTTGTTGTCTTGGTGTGGTCTGGGACTGTTGTTGTTGTTGTCTTGGTGTGGTCTGGGATTGTTGTTGTTGTTGTCTTGGTGTGGTCTGGGATTGTTGTTGTCTTGGTGTTGTCTGGGACTGTTGTTGTTGTCTTGGTGAGGTCTGGGACTGTTGTTGTCTTGGTGTGGTCTAGGACTGTTGTTGTCTTGGTGTGGTCTGGGACTGTTGTTGTTGTTGCCTTGGTGTGGTCTAGGACTGTTGTTGTTGTCTTGGTGTGGTCTGGGACTGTTATTGTTGTTGCCTTGGTGTGGTCTGGGAATGTTGTTGTTGTTGCCTTGGTGTGGTCTAGGACTGCTGTTGTTTTTGTCTTGGAGTGGTCTGGGACTGTTGTTGTTGTTGCCTTGGTGTGGTCTGGGACTGTTGTTGTTGTCTTGGTGTGGTCTGGGACTGTTGTTGTTGTTGTTGTTGTTGTCTTGGTGTGGTCTGGGACTGTTGTTGTTGTCTTGGTGTGGTCTTGGACTGTTGTTGTTGTTGTCTTGGTGTGGTCTGGGACTGTTGTTCTTGTCTTGGTGTGGTCTGGGACTGTTGTTGTTGTTGTGGTCTGGGACTGTTGTTGTCTTGGTGTGATCTCGGACTGTTGATGTTGTCTTGGTGTTGTTTGGGACTGTTGATGTCTTGGTGTGGTCTGACACTGTTGTTGTTGTCTTGGTGTTGTCTTGGACTGTTGTTGTTGTCTTAGTGTGGTCTAGGACTGTTGTTGTTGTCTTGGTGTGGTCTGGGACTGTTGTTGTTGTTGTCTTGGTGTGGTCTGGGATTGTTGTTGTCTTGGTGTTGTCTGGGACTGTTGTTGTTGTCTTGGTGAGGTCTGGGACTGTTGTTGTTGTCTTGGTGTGGTCTAGGACTGTTGTTGTTGTCTTGGTGTGGTCTGGGACTGTTGTTGTTGTCTTGGTGTGGTCTGGGATTGTTGTTGTCTTGGTGTGGTCTGGGACTGTTGTTGTTGTTGTCTTGGTGTGGTTTGGGACTGTTGTTGTTGTTATTGTCTTGGAGTGGTCTGGGACTGTTGTTGTTGTCTTGGTGTGGTCTGGGACTGTTGTTGTTGTTGTTGTTGTCTTGGTGTGGTCTGGTACTGTTGTTATTGTTATTGTCTTGGTGTGGTCTGGGACTGTTGTTGTTGTCTTGGTGTTGTCTTGGACTGTTGTTGTCTTAGTGTGGTCTAGGACTGTTGTTGTCTTGGTGTGGTCTGGGATTGTTGTTGTTGTTGTCTTGGTGTGGTCTGGGACTGTTGTTGTTGTCTTGGTGTGGTCTTGGACTGTTGTTGTTGTTGGCTTGGTGTGGTCTGGGACTGTTGTTCTTGTCTTGGTGTGGTCTGGGACTGTTGTTGTTGTTGTGGTCTGGGACTGTTGTTGTCTTGGTGTGATCTCGGACTGTTGATGTTGTCTTGGTGTTGTTTGGGACTGTTGATGTCTTGGTGTGGTCTGACACTGTTGTTGTTGTCTTGGTGTTGTCTTGGACTGTTGTTGTTGTCTTGGTGTGATCTAGGACTGTTGTTGTTGTCTTGGTGTGGTCTGGGACTGTTGTTGTTGTTGTCTTGGTGTGGTCTGGGATTGTTGTTGTCTTTGTGTTGTCTGGGACTGTTGTTGTTGTCTTGGTGAGGTCTGGGACTGTTGTTGTTGTTGTTGTTGTCTTGGTGTGGTCTAGGACTGTTGTTGTTGTCTTGGTGTGGTCTGGGACTGTTGTTGTTGTCTTGGTGTGGTCTGGGATTGTTGTTGTTGTTGTCTTGGTGTGGTCTGGGACTGTTGTTGTTGTTGTCTTGGTGTGGTTTGGGACTGTTGTTGTTGTTATTGTCTTGGAGTGGTCTGGGACTGTTGTTGTTGTCTTGGTGTGGTCTGGGACTGTTGTTGTTGTTGTTGTTGTCTTGGTGTGGTCTGGGACTGTTGTTGTTATTGTTATTGTCTTGGTGTGGTCTGGGACTGTTGTTGTTGTCTTGGTGTTGTCTTGGACTGTTGTTGTCTTAGTGTGGTCTAGGACTGTTGTTGTTGTCTTGGTGTGGTCTGGGATTGTTGTTGTTGTTGTTGTTGTTGTTGTTGTTGTTGTTGTTGTCTTGGTGTGGTCTGGGATTGTTGTTGTCTTGGTGTTGTCTGGGACTGTTGTTGTTGTCTTGGTGAGGTCTGAGACTGTTGTTGTTGTCTTGGTGTGGTCTAGGACTGTTGTTGTTGTTGTTGTTGTTGTCTTGGTGTGGTCTGGGACTGTTGTTGTTGTTGTCTTGGTGTGGTCTGGGATTGTTGTTGTTGTTGTTGTTGTTGTTGTTGTTGTTGTTGTCTTGGTGTGGTCTGGGACTGTTGTTGTTGTCTTGGTGTGGTCTGGGACTGTTGTTGTTGTCTTGGTGTGGTCTGGGACTGTTGTTGTTATTGTCTTGGTGTGGTCTGGGACTTTTGTTGTTGTCTTGGTGTGGTCTGGGACTGTTGTTTTCTTTGTGTGGTCTGGGACTGTTGTTGTTGTCTTGGTATGGTCTGGGACTGTTGTTGTTGTTGTGGTCT